TTGATTATTTTTTTAAATATTATCTTAATACATACAAATGTATGATCTTTAAGACAATCAGGAAGACATGATCGAAGAGCTTCACGTGCTCTTGCATTATCTGATAAACGTAAATAACAACGAATTATATGTTTTAATAAACGGCCACTAGCTTCTTTTTGCTATAGAAGGAAAAAGTCAAGTAGTTAAAAATTAATTGAAAATAAATATTTGTTTTGCAAACCTGTTGAAGAACCATTCTTCCTAAAACCATCGCTACATGTGAAAATCGATCAAATGTTTGACATATATAATTTAAACCACAATCATCAGCAAGAATTTTTTGTAAAATAAATGTTGCAACGGTTTTAGATAATTCACTACCTGATTGCATTATACGTAATGATAATGGAATTATTTCAGTTGTTAATAAAAAATTAATGACTTCTGTTTCATCTGTTTTAACAAGTGCACCAATAACACCTAATGATGTTAAACGTAAATATTCAAATGGTCGTGTTGATGATTTTGTATTTAAAAACGGATAAAGAAATAATGGAATATTTGCTTGAATAAATAATGTACGAGTTTCAGGATGAGATGCTATACATTGAAGTAATGCTAATGCATTACAAACACGATTTGATTGTTGAGCTGTTAGTGTTGGAGGTGTTATATATGGATAAACCGAACTAATAATTAACAAAAAAATTCAATATTTTTATCACAGATATATACACAAGCCAAAAAATAACTTACATGACTTCATGTAAAAGTACAGCAACTGAACCAAATGAATGCCAAAGTAAAACGGCTAAATCAACAACTTTTTCTCGTTTACGACTTAATTCCATTAAAGCATTTTCACGCGTGTTTGATGATAATAATTCAGTTATCCAACAAGCAATCCGTTCAGGAGAAACGGGAGCATCATTGGCAGGATTATTTGAACCAGATAGTTGTTGTTGACCTGAATTTGTACTTGAACTATTTGAAGTTTGACCACTTGTTCCAGCCGATGGAGGACCACTACCGCCACTATTCACTGTAGCCGTGGGATTCGGAGATGGAGTTGATGATGTTGATGATGCCATGTTCATGATTAGAAGATACAAAATCTAAAACCAATTCTATGTAATTCGTATAGAATGTAACAGTATTTTTTGTCTTCTTATTCTCTGTTTTATGTATTTTACATTGATTTGTTCGCTTGTCTGTCTGATTGTTTTTCTGATAACATTATCCAACTTACTGGCTGTTTTATATACCAATTAAACAAAAAGAGTTTAATGACATCTGTTGAAATGCCTAAGATGCATTCATGATTTAAAGTTAGTAAAACAACACAACTACTAAAGTGTTCATTTATTTCTTTTCTGTACGTGTAACATGTCGAAAATATTAGTGGTGGATCTAGTAGTATGGCGGTTCATTGATCATGTTTCTCTCATGAAAAGAAGTCTTATGGAGAGTGTCACTTATAAATATTTGTACAAAAGACTTGAAAGTTTAAAATCGTGAAAGTAGTCAAAAGATGTCAACCGCTGTTGTTTAAGTGTGATTTTAATATTTCTAGAACTCTTCGAAGTAACAGTTACTGATTGAAAAAGAACATTGGTCATTACTTCTGTTATTTGATGATTAATGCAAAGTTAAAAAAGTTTTAAATGCTCATAATAAAATAGTCCTGCAGCTTCTAGTTGAACAAGGACAATAGAAGCGTTTGTCAACAAGTTTTGAAGAATAACCTAGTCCTTCTACTAAATACTGTGCGAAACAATCTGAACATTTATTAGTAAAATGTACTTCGTTTCATTTTGTTAGATTGGTTTGTTTGATGTCGATTCAGTCATGGGTTTAGATTAAAATGTGTGTTTAGATAATCAAATTTTTCAAAAAAGAAGCAAGCTCTAAGAGCAACACTGTTAGAATAAAAGACTTAATGGATTAACTATTATGTATATTTAAAATGATTTCAATATGACGCTAATTCTGTCATTGATGAATTTTCAAAATTCAATCATCATCCGGATCTTCGAGTTCTGTTGCTCAATGGTTTTGTTTTGATAAAAGTTATCTGTTAATAATTTCATGGATTTCATGTATAAAAAAAGCTATGGTGAACAGTAAGTATGCAAGTGAGCTACTTGGCTGACCTGAACAAAAAAACTACACAATCTCAGAAATCTTCAAGAGAAATAAAGTTTTCGACAACTAATGAATTGATTCAATTAATAAAAAATGATTAATATGAGATGAATAACCATCCATGTTGCACAGAATGACCCATAAACGACTCGAAAAGCAGTTCCTGTTAGGGCGATCGTTTAGAAAGCTATATAAAATAGAGAAATACGGCAATAAACGATATCATTGATAATCATAGTTTTTGCTACAAAGGAAGTCATTTTTCATCATTAGTCAAGCTTTGAAGATCTATACTGCATGAGCCATGGTGACTTTATTGATCAATACTAAATGGATCACATTCGACTGCTTTTCTGGAGCGTCTACCTAAAATTAAAATACAATTTTTTTTCTTAACATTGTTTTTTATGTGAACCTGTTACAATCAATGTTTTCGAGACATTTCATGCATCAATCAATAGATATTATTGAGATTCATTAGACAGAAATGATAGTCTTTAAAACTGAAAACTAATAAATCTCCTCTTTCAAATAATATAGAAATTATTCAATTAATATTTATAAGTAATGCAGTAATAAATATTTAGAATATAATCATAATGCTTGGGGCATCCCATATATTCACTTCATCTTTAATATCTTTTTCATATACAATAGAACTTGAATCATCCCACATTGACATCGAAATAATCAAAAAAAATTTCATAGTTGTCTCATTTCTTTCAGACGACAATATATAAAACGGTTTTGAGCATAAGTACACATCAAAGTGGATGTGTCTCCAATCCTGCCGTATTCCATACGCTAGTTCGTCTAATTCACAGAGCACATTAGAGAGTCGGGATGCTAGATGTTTCTGATCAGGAGAAGTACTCTTACTATAAATAGTATCAAATAATGTCCCTTGTTCAATGAGTACATAAAATAGTCTATTATCAAAGTTTCTTGTAATATATTTCCAGAAATAGAAGACCCTCTATATTAACGGGTGTCCCAGAATAAATTATACCATTCGTATTTTGAGTATAACTCTTCTATTATCCATTAGATCGGGACATCTTTTTATACTAAAAGATAGCGCTTGAAATTCTCTACAAAATTNAGGACAGTTGGTCGCATGGACAGTTGGTCGCATAGCATAAATAAGAGGAATATGAAGTACAAAAACAATTGAACATTATTTATTATTTTATAAATTATTAAACAGAGAACATTACAGAGAAATCCGAACAATAAGACAACAAAATGCAACAAGTAAAACAAAGTTTTCAATAGTGAAGGTTGAGAAGTATGAAAAGCAGTACATTTTGTAGAACGGACTTTGTTTTATTGTATAATGGATAGTTAATTTTTACATGATGTGACATTCTTGAGATATAGAGCGTAGAAAATGGTTCCGTCAAACACGCAAGAGGGAAAGATGATGCTTTGGTACTTTAAAGTACATTAAAGTACCATGAAGTATGATAAAGTACCCTAAAGTACTTTAAAGTACCTTAAAGTACTTTAACCCTTTCGTGCCGGGGTTTTTTCGAAAAAAACTAAGTTTTTATATAAGTGAAAATATATGTTTATTCAATGAAGAAACATCATCAAAAATGTTTTAGGGTATGATAAGCTCGAAAACAATCAATTATGCACAATCCCACATCACATTCATCACACTGATATCGTGTATATTTGGTTGGTTGTTCACGTCTTGTTGTATGAGAGCATACATAACATTTCCTTTGCGCAGTTTCTTTTGCGGCAGTTGAGGGTACAAGTGACGGAAAATGTCTAGCAGACAAACGTAGTGGTGAATCAATTGATGGTCTTCCAATAGAAATTCTTTTTTGATTACCATACTTTGATAAAATATTTTTTATCAATTGAAGACGAAACTCTTTCAATTCTATATTCTTTGAGTTTTGCGTTTTATATAAATAAAAAGCATTGATTGAAACCATATCAACGATATGAAAAAAGAACTTCTTATACCATTTGGTTGTTTTTCTAATACATTCCGTGAAACTTAACTGCATATGAACTAAATCAATTGCACCTTTATTTTCATTATAACTTTGAACACAGGCAGGTTTCATAATCCGTCTTCCTGTTTTGTGATCAATTTTGTCAGTTGCTATCATTTGTGAATCATGAATAGTTGATAGCATATAAACTTCTCGTTTATCCATCCATTTCACAGCTAGCATCGACTCGCAATTTCTATAAGCTTGTTCTCCTCTATCCAACTTTTCTTCGAAATAAGGCATACCATTCCTGTTTCTCTTTACTGTCCCTACTGCTCCTGTGCCTTGTTTATAAAGTTCTAAAAAAAGCTTAGGGCTTGTGTACCAGTTATCAACGTACAATATGTGGCCCTTTTGAAGATAAGGTTTCAAAAGTGTCATCACAATTGATCCAGGTACCCCCAAACTATGTATCATTTCAATTTCTGTATTAGCACCTGTGTATACAACAAAATCTAATATATATTTTGTTCTACAGTCGCAGAGCATAAATAATTTGATACCAAACCGACGCCTTTTCGATGAAACATATTGCTTGAACGATAAACGTCCTTTCCAAAGTAATAAACATTCGTCAATACATCATTTTTGAAAAGGCTTGAAAATTTGCTGAAACTTGTCTCGCATATGACGAATAATTGGTAATATTTTATAAATTTTACCTGAATTATTTTCGTCATTATTGACAAAGTGAAGCATTCGCATTATTGAATAATATCTATCTCTCGAAAATAATTCTCTAAATATCGGAGTTATAATGACAGGATCCACTGACCAATAATCTCTAAGTTTATTTTTCTGCACTATACCCATCAACATCGTTGTTGCAATAAAAGCATACATCTCTTTGAAGTTGGTTGCTTACCATTGTGCTTGATGGCTTGTTGGTGTTGATGCTGATGGATTCTGTTGTTGGTATCTATTGGTTTCTTCAGCAATGTATTCCATGATTTTCTGATTGAAAAAAAGCTCAAAATAATCAATAGGATCGTTTTCTAAGTCTAAATCACTTGCTATTCCTGTCGTATCATTATTGAAATTTAATGATTTAGGAACAAATTTTCCACGTTTCCAATTTAGAAATTCCGTTTTATTTTCTCTTGATGGTAGTTCTTTTTCAACAGAACCTGATGTTGAATCATCAGAATAACTGCTGATTTCAGTGTCTATATCTGATGTTGAATCATCAAAATAGTTACTGATTTCAGTATCTGAACCTGAATTTGAATCAGCTAGAGTTTCTGAAATTTCTTGTTCAGATGAATTGTTTCTTCTTGCCATTGTGAAGTTCTGAATCACTAAACCAGTTATCAGTGATTGAAAGAATTCTTATTAGGTATATACTTATGTTGTGCTATGTTGAAATCAACGCGTATATATATAGAGAAAGAGAGAAGAGTGCGCAAAGAGAAAGAGTCTACTAGAAGTTGATAGAAGAGGAAATCACTAAAGAATAGAAGAAAGAACATATATTGCACCGGAGCGTACATACATGAAGTCATGGTAGTGATAGAAAGAAAGGGATGAAATGCAAGTGATGTCACTAATAAGATATAAGGTACATATATATATATATATGACGTCATGACAATAACCGAGAGTAAGAAATGAAGTGCAAATGAACGACGAAAAAACACTCTGTAGGCTATTTTCACTCATTTTTCACTGTGGTGATATATATGCCACGCCCGGCACCAAATGGTTAAACACAGTGTTTTCGTTGAGAAGTAAACAAGTGCGATAAAAACAAGTATCAATGTTAGAATGAATTATGTATCAGGAAAGTATTTTCGATTCTTGGTCATCCTGACATCACATGCCTAGATTGATCGGATAAACAAATTTCAGAAACCGGTCTAACCATACCATGATTTCAACAAACTGAAACTAACTGTAAAAAACATTTTTGTCGATCAGACTGTACAATGTCATATGATGATGAGTAATGTGTCGAAGATTTTGCTGTATATCGTAATGGATAACATCTCTTGTTTGTTCAATTGATGAGTGCACAAGGAAATTTATCCTGTGATTGTTGGATGACTTTATCTTGTTTGGAAAAAAGGATACAGATCTGATCGATGGAACACGATGTAACAATCTCTTTTTACTCTCGTATCTTTGATATCCATGTTCAACCTGGTGTGTTTATGACTAAATTTCCAATCATTCTAGTTCTTTATGATTATGTAAGATTTTATATGACAAATAAATGCTTGATATTTGAATATTGATTCAGCTCTTCCACTCGATTACCTTTGCCATAATGAACGGTTACATGGCTTTTTTCTGCCTGCATATCGTCATACAATCTACGCTTTTCAACACAGTTATGAGATGAGTTTCGAATCGAGTGTCAACTATGAATACAAGTTCATCATTGTGATTACGCTGTAATTTTATTTGTGACATACATACATTTGTTTGTAATTATTTTTTATAATTTTTTCGGATGCTGATAAAAGGTAAGAGCCAAAAGACAAGACAACGATGATAAGCAGAGAAAGAATTACAAGGAAGAGAAAAATATAAAACGAAATCGAGGTAGTGATGGCATCATTGACATGCATTGATGTTCTTCTTTTTGTCTGCTCTTCCATTACCGCATGTCTTGAAATCGAAGACACTGTGCCAGGAAAAAGAATCAAACCTTCTAATATCTGATTAAAAATCAGATAAATAGAATCACTACACCATCCCAGGCAGCCGTTTCATTGTATTGTTGTGAATAAAAAAAACTCACTTCAGAAAACTGAATCTATATCTATATGAAAGTTCGACGATTGATTCAAAACGGACAACACTCAAATCTAGATTCTTTACATATAACGTGGAAAATTTGTTTGAATAGTACGAGGATTTGTGACAGTGACACACTGTACTCGTCGTATTCTTCTTTGCCAGGTCTTATTTAAAAGACTACTGAAGATTTTTTTGACTTCATCTGTATTGATAACAGTGAGTAACATACTTCCTCCGTATCCGAAAGAAATGAAGATGAAACTGACTCTTTCGGCATAGGGTGGTGCTGATCCAGTGATCCACGAACGTAGCCAAAACACACAATATGGAAAACCCAGGACGAAAAGCACAGCAACCAGTGTCAATATCCGACGAAGAAGAAAAACCTCGCGTTGTTGCCGATACCTTTGAAAAAAAATTGGACGATTAGTGTTCGAAAATGAATTATATTTCACATGTCGAACGATCAATGCGTAGCTCAACATAATCAACGGCAGTGGAATGAAATAAATCCATGTTGCTAAGTACAAGAATCCATTGATATCGTGTATTGATACCTAAAAAAAAAGAATACAGAACAATTAAACACTCGGATTTCAAGTGAGATCGAATTCATGATCAGAGACTTTTCCCTGTACTCTTCTGCTGTCCTGTAGCCAATTTAGAATAGGACCTAATACTGGTATTATCATTCTCATTTCAACTGACATATCTCAGCGTGAAAAATCAGCTCGATGAAATGAAATCTTTGCAACTTATATCACTACTCGAGAGAAGATTTCTAGAACACTTTTCGATAATCTCGTCTTTTTTTTTCAATTTTTTTGTTAACTAGAAATCGAATGAGCTCCCAAAGTTTTAATAACTAGAAGCTTTCTTATCTGATAACCATTTAGTTTTAGGACTCACGACGGTCATTATTTTCTCCATCGAATTTGCTTTAAAACTCTGACGATCGTATAAATTCCTATTATTGGATATGCTCGTTCGAACGACAAAAGACAAATGTCTAATTTCATTCATCCGATTTTGTTTATTGGTATTTATTCATGTACTCAAATGAGTTGAAAACTTAACGTTCCTCATAGATCAGTCTTGAATATTACGATCTTGCATAGCGAGACAACTCTTTCACGTTTATACATCCACTAAAGTCACTTAAATTCACGATTGCCATTTCACTAGATACAAACAATTAAAACAAGTTCTGTTGTTCAATTCTGAAGTAGTCATCTGAAGCCGCGCTGGATCTCTATCTGTATTACAATTTTAATGGTCTATGTTTCAAAAAAATGGTGTTTTTATTAATGAGACGGAACTGAATATATATATATATATAATCTGTTATTGATTTCGAATGATTTTAACAAAAACATTTTAGATGCCTACCAAACATATCTGACTGCCAGCTTGATAGCGAATTCGTCCAGAAAGAAATATAGGAAGGCCGAAAATATTGGAAAACACCCATTGAACAAAAACGACAAATATAATAAACTGTTTTGACTGAAGAAACCGACGTGTTGCAAATACGTTGATAAAGAGACGATGAAGAGCTTGGACGCAAAGTGTATGATACAGAAGACCACTTAAACCATGAAGCAAAAAACCACGAAATGAACATAGAGGATCATTTGCATCACCGATCATTTGATAAACAGCTTGACAAGCACATGTTATATTGATCATTAATCCAGCCACAACTGAGTTCAATGCCAGGAGTATGGTCACTGTGTGACACCGACGATGAAAAATTACCACTCCAATGAAAAAAAGAGCAAAACTAATTCCTACTATATTGAAGGAGAGCATCAATACTGACGACAATGTGTCGAAGATATCCATCAATTATCTAAAGATCGAAGATCAACAATATCAAATGATTTCTTTTGTTTGTAAAACAGATCAACTGTTAACGACTTTTACATTTTCGATCTATTTTTGTAATATGTGAAGACTTGAAAATTACAAATAGTGCATGCTTAACCCTTTCAATCCCGACATTTTCTCTCATTTTATATAAACCTGAAGAAAATCTAGATTTCTCTCTCTCTTGCGTTTTGATCTATATAATCAGCTGTACACGAATTCTAACTACACTAGTTCAGTGCGAAAAAAAATATTTTCACATCGAAGAATACATGTGTTTCTTTGAACACACATATGATATGTATCATGTAGAAAGACGACAGAACGCAAAATTTCTATATTATGATATGCATGTCATCTACGAGATGTCATGCGGGATTGAAAGGGTTAAGAATAATCTCTAGAATTCATTTTTATTTTTCGTTGACATCTTGGATTATAGTCACTATACACTCAGTAATCGCCATTTTGTCTGATAACATGTATTTGAACATTATCACCGATTAACAAATTAATACTTCTTCTGCTTGTAATATCTTGTGGTGTGAGTCTTGTCTTCAGTATCACTCACGCCCTACTCATATTAGTAGTTTCTCTCATAATAGAAGTCCTCCTGAAAGTTTTTCCACGTAGAACATCAACATATGTTTTTCTAAAGTTATCATTTGTGTTAGCTTTTGTCCAGTAACCTAAATCATCAAAAAGAAAAAGATCTATTTATTCTTAGTAATAGAAATGATTTTATTCCTTTCGCAAAAACCTAGTCCGACTAACAGTGGATAGGTAAATAACATTTCGAAAATGCACTAGCTAACTATTAAAATCATCTCGTTTTACAATATAGTTCGAAATGGTCGATGTAGTTGAATATTCTACATTTAATGGAGATACAAGATTTAATTTTTTAAACGAGTTCAACAAGATGAAATCAATTCTATGCAATTGAATCTCAATATTTCTTAGTTTCATCGTTGAAAAATAGGAAAACTAAACGTAATATCTCTAACGTAAGAGTGTTGCACGGATTAACTCCAGTAATGATATTGATTAAATTCGTTCTTATTTCTAATAGTATTTATTTTTTTATCAATACATCCTCATACAAATATGATACATGAAAACAATCAAAAGAAAAGAAAGATACAATCAAAACCATTACTGAATAAAATATTGAGAATATACAAAGAATGATGAAAACATAAGTTATTTATTTATATCAAATCAAACAAAAGAAATCTTTATGATGTATGAATGCCAATTTGATCTAGAACTCCAATATCTTTAAACCAAGCAATAAGTTCATTAAAATTAATGCTTCCATCATGTCCACGATCAATTTCTTCAAATTGACATGCTTGATGTTCATGTTCATCAAGAATATGATGACGTATTAAATCTTTATGCATTTTTTCAAATTCTTTTTTATTTAATCTACCATGATTATGTTTATCATATGAACGAAATATTTCGGCTATATAGCATATTAATTGTGTTTGATATGCATTTGGCATTCGTATATGTTCAAAACGTGATGATGTTCGCCACCAATCAGCAAATTCTTGATAATCAATTTTACCATTTCCATCTTTATCAATTAATGTACATGCCCATTCAAGCTCATCATCTGATAAATAATAACCCATGTCATAACAAAGTGAACGTAGTTCATCACGTGATATTGTTCCTAGAGAAAATTATTTTGTTTTATTTCATTTATTTATTCTTTTGTGAACATACCATTTTTATCTTTATCATATTTATTAAACATTAATTCAGATATTGGTTTTGTAGCACCACCAAATGAAAAACAAGTTGGTGCAGGTGTTATTCGTTGATGTTTATTAATCGCGTTCATTGTTCGAAAGAAGTAAACTAGACGAGAATGAATATATGTGTATATAAAGTACGATACGCCATTCTTTCTACTCCTCTCTTCTCTATTCGATCAATCGCATGCACTTTTCGTTGGTTGGTCAACATTGAATAGGGAAAGAAAAAACTTGGACAAATAATAGGACCGAAGAAGAATATATACATTGCTCGTTCGTACGTGCTTGGGTCAATAGACAAACGAGACAAGATGAGAAGATTCATGATAACAATAGAAGACTAAAGAATGTAGATTTTCGATTATTGATGAAAAGTTTTCAGTTAATAGGATGCATAAAATACTTCATGTAAGATTAATATCACGCTTAACCATTGAAAAGAAAATTTGATCTTATTAAATAAATATGAAACATAATATGATTTACTAATATAATTAAGTTAATTCTTCAGAAAGAATTATGGATTTATTAGATATCCTTATTTAAAAAAAAAGAAACAACTTAAAATGTCTTGCATTTGAATATATTTCATGTTACTATACTTTATTATGTATTTATTTAAATATCCCTTATCATCTAGTATAGAGTGAAAATCAAACATAGTATAATAAAAGAACGATGCCGTAATGACTCATCAGTCTTTATGCTACTTGACTGTTGATGTTATTGTATCCATTTGCCGTAGTTTTATATGTCATCTACATACTATTATTGTACGTATGGTGTACGAAACTTACTTTTTTCGATTTGAATGTTACTACTACTTGATATGTATGTCGTTTTGTTTACCTTATAATCATGGCCATGGAGTGAACATTTGAATTCTTCATACATTGTGAATAAATGTGGGTGAAGGCAATTTAACTAGGAGCTATTTCTGTTTTATTTGTTCATCTTGCTAGACTCTATATGTTAAGATTCAAATTCATCAATTCATTGGGAATTTAAGCGAAGTTTTTTTTTTGTAACGTAATATTAACCGAATGTTTCTTTACAGTAGATGTAGTTTTCGACCTTGTAAATATAAGTTTTGAACATTGTTTTTCATTTCTTTACGAAATGAAGGTGATGCATATGTATCAATAAAAAACTACAAGCATAAAAGCATTTTATTAATATTGATTCGCTGAGTGATTGTTAAATCATTTTTTTTTTCAGGAAGTTTAAAAATAATACCAGTTAGATTATTAGTTCATAAACATGAATTTAAGTAACATGTAAATTCTGTTGATTCCGTTGTTGGATCTTGTAAACAATAGATAATCATTATCAATAATAGGTTCATGAGAATAATGGGTCCAAATTAAGTAATAATTTAATGAAAAAAGATTGTATCATAAATGTTCAACAGATGATTCCCCTAAACGAGAAGGTCAACAGGTATTGCTATAGCAGTAGATCGACGAATTTTTTCTAATGATTGATCAAAGACGACTTTGTCGATTAATCAATGATATAAGATGATCATCCATTAAAGTTGAAATAATCGTAATATTTCCTATCGAAACGATAGAAATTTCACCATAGACTTATATTTGAAATTGAACAATTTTAGTTATATGAACCACTCCGTGACTTTTACATCCATGAAGAAGCGTCTCCACTTAGTACAAATATAAATGTTTAGATCTTATAAGTGCAAGCCTATGCAGCATGTTTTTTTTACGCTAGAATTCATTCATTTGGTTATTTATATATCGATATCTATTTGTTTTAACCTGCATATTTAAACATATGATCTGTATGTTTTAAGAAAAACATTTAGAAATCTAATCAAGTTATTAATAGTTATATAAACATATTTATATTTCAATCGAGTAATGTAGAAGAATTTATGCCACTAGTAGTATGAGCCTTCAGTATAAATTTAATTGATCTCAATGGTAAAAGTTGCACAAGTCAATTTTGTCAGGAATAAAAGAGTATGTTTTATTATGAATTATTGCATATTTTTTACTCATCACATTATATGTCAGTTGATGAATATAATTCAATTTAAATTTTTATCATTTTCTTCCTATTGCATTTCTACAGATGCATTAAGTTTCACCATATAACAGAATTTTTTAAAAATAAAATCAAAATAACAGATAAATAAAAAAAAGAAAAACTAAACTACGTAATAAAAATCGTTAATCATTATTTCAAGAAGATTTTACTTTTTAATCTGAAAATGATTATTAATATAGAGAAATTCTTCCGCAGTAAAACCTTTCTTAACTTGATGCCATCGAGACTCTGAAAAAGTGTTCAATATTGAGTGATGTGCATCTGTGGAAAATATCATATATTTTACTACGAAAAGAAAAATGTTTCAGAATATAAGCTTATTTGCTAGTTTTGAAATAATCAGAGACCATTTTCTATGTTGTTTGTTTTCCTTTATTTGAATATTTATGAATCTAAAGACTTTTAACAAAATATTAAACTTTACTATGTTTCATAAAGTTCTGTATTACGATTTCAGTCTTTATATATGTAAATTTAATAAACGTTGCTGTACAATTCATCAAACTTCACGACGTCAAAATTTTGAACTTTTCTTTAATACTTTGGTTTTGGATCGTTTGAGAATCTATTAAAATGTTATTCTTTTCTTCGTTTTAGAATATCAGCTACAAAACTAAGTGAAATATTCAAGTTTCTAGCTAATTCACATTGCGATGAACCATCACCATTGTTGTAATCAATCATTAATTTTCCATCTTTTTTCATTTAATCTAAGATGATATTGTGATGTCACTGCTTTTCGGAATATGTACAGTTATAACAACCAGGGAATAATAGTTTTTGTACATTAATCAGCAATGATAAAAAGAAGAGAGAAAAAATGGCATGTTTGTTCATTCAAAAGTAGTTTCAATAGTAATTTGGACTGTACAAACAGTGTTCAAGTTCAAAGTAGGAACGCTTTCGTCTATGGAAGATGCATTTCCAGCAAAAATTGCTGGATAATACCGAAACCTTATTCAAAATGGAAGGTTTTTACCTATGAAAGGTGTCAACTGTAATTCTATATGATTATTTATGGAAAACTATGCATTAGAAACAAACATAATTCACATGGATTTACCAATGAAAATAGAAACTAATACACTACTATACAACAAAAGAAATTCGATTGTATTTTTCAATAAGATATTTTCATTCAAATATTTTATTTGTTTGTTATTTGTATTTAATTTTCAAATAGTTTATGTAAGAATAAATTGACTCGTTACACTGTATAAACTATTACTAATTACTGATATAGAATCTTCATTTACACTTTTATTTTGACAATGAGATTTATATTGTTTATCATTGTATAAAGATAATTCACCTTCTCGAATAGTTGTATCAAATGATTGAAAAAGAGACATCGCTGAACCATTTGTAATTATCTATGAAAAAAACAGAAAATAACGTCAATGAAATGAAAAAAAAAACATATAAACAAACTTTAGGTTGTTGTTTATTATTATTTAATGGATAAATAAATGCAGAATTAGTTCTATTAATATTTGATTGAGAGCGAGCATGATTAATTTCGGTCGATATATCTTCTACAACAGTATCGACTAATGTATCAAAATTATTCTTGTTATCACGATTAGCTATAAAATTAAAAATCTAATATAAATCATTAAATAAGAAGGGGTGTGCTGAAAGTTTGAAACAAAATCTTTGCTTATTTTTGGCTACATTGAAAGTGTTTCCAAGGAGGCAGAAGCTGTGTGGATTAAGACCAAAATTTTTGTGATTTTCTGAATGTAGGCTTATAAATTTTCTTGGGACACCAATGAAATGATCTTGTCGCAGACCCAAAAAAAAATAGTTTAGACGGAAACTTTTTTCGTTCACTTCTGTACTTTCATTATTAGTACTCGAAAGTACATGTTGACACTTTTATGAATATATCAGCGTGTCGAGCAAAAGGTAGCCTACAAAATGTACTATTGAAGGTTTTCTTGTTTTTCTACATGTCACTTCAACTTTTGTCTCTCTTGCTACGTCCTCATTTTTGAAAAATCGACTTTTTTACTAGAAGACGTTCTGTATAGCCTGAGCTCTTGACAATGTGTCTTTAGTTCATTTACAAAAAGATAAATAGTCACATATCTTGTGTCTGTACTAACTGCATTAGTTTTTCTGTAACACAAATAATTTCATGTTCTTAACTTATTGAGATCATTTATCCATTTTTTTACTAAATGAAAACAGCTAGACAAATGTTACAGGAGAAATTCTAACGCAGGAAAATCTAAAATTTTCCTGAATTCTTATTATCCCTGACATACAAACATCATAATAAACACAAAACATAATAAAACCCACATATATTGTTACCAATACAATTAAACGAAAATACACGTATAATGTTATTATCCCGTTGAATCGAATACAATTAATTAAGAACATCACTGTCTTTTTCGTGGTGAATAATATCATCATTTTTATTTGTTTTTTCCTTTATCTAACTTTGGTCACGATGAGCATTATTCAAAAACAGAATCAGATCGTGACTCGCGAGATAAACTAGAAAGAATGATCACGATCAAAACACTTGGTCACGCCGGGGCAATACTATCGACTCCTCGGAAAACAGTTTCAAGAGGCCGAAAGAAATAAACAAATATTTTGTTTCAAAACTTTCGATCCATTCGTTATTTGGCAAGTATTTAAATAATTCTTGCAAGAAATAAATATTTAAGTATTTTGAAAATATTCTCTACCGTTTTTTTGTTGTTGAATATCATCGAATGACATAATAATTCGACTTTTACGAACTCGAAATATTCGTTGTTTTAAATGATTTAATGCCTTATTCCAAATATAATTAAATGATTCTTCATGATTAAGTAATTTTTTTGCTAGTTTTTGTCGTTCTTTAATTGTATTGTATTGATATTGTTTTAGGCTATCATTAGAATTGATTGATAATGGTAAATATGAAATAGAATGAGATGAATCAATTTTCTTTTGTCTTATATTAGTAGCATTGAGAGATGAAGAATGAAAAGTTGCTGGAATATTTGTTAAAGTAAAATTTGGCCGACGATGAAAATGAGAAAATAATGCTTGTTTAAATGATGAATGTTGATTATCCGATTGAGCAATCGGAAGATCAGATTGAGTAAGAACATTAGGAAAATGATCAGGTTTTGATGAATAATCAGCCCAGTATAATGGCTCATTATTGTAAATAAGTGAGTCATGCTAATAATATAAAATTTTTCAATAAAATATTCAAATGAAAAAAGGAAGAGGGCCGATAATTGTTGAAAGTGGCTCCCTCGAGAAATTTGATTTATTTTATGTCAAACTACCATACAAGATGTCCGACATTGAGTTCTGGTAAAATTAGTCATATAGCACTTATTTATGCTGTGCACAAGTCGATTGAAATGATCATTGACTGTCACATGTGTATTGCACCAGACTGTTGATGATAAGCGTTACTTTTTATTGATCTATCTCATGAGCGACCAGGCTACTTGTATATGGTTCGATCGCACTTTTCAAGCAGCACAATTCAAAATGTATAAGAACATCGAGAAAAGAAAATTGCTCGCACAAAGATGTCCAATGAATAAAAACTGATATGGTATTCTTAATTGGCGTTCAAAATTGCGTAGACTTAATATGTTTCGAAAATTTTAGCAACCTTTGTTTTTTCGTTGAAAAGTTCACCCTTGGTCGTCCCCTTAGAGCTAAGTGAAAAAATGAATTTCATAAAAACTCTGTTTTTACTGTTTATTCATCTGCTACTTGGAGTTTTACTATCGTTTTATAATCTTAGAACTTGACTCCTACTGCCAAAATAACTTTTGAATAAAATTCATTTTTTTAACTCAATCGTGAAGGGCAGCAGGAATTAACTTTTCAACAAGAAAATAGGTTGCGAAAGTGTTTTGAAACACATGTAAGCCCATGCAGTTGTGGATGCTGATTCAAAATATCGTGTTAGTTTTTAGGCAAATCGTATTTTTCTAATCAAAATCTGCTAAATTAATAGACAATAAAGTCATAAATAGTGTCTCGACAGTAGTCTCCTTTGGATTTGTTTGTGTTACCAGTGTTTTTTCTTCGATGTTCGTATACCATTATGAAGCCGTTGAAAAGTGCTATCGAGCTATATGAATTCTAGCCTAGCAGGCTTTTAGATTGATAGATATATAGAAAGAGCTGGCTATCCCTCAACAGCTAGATATAGTGTACATATACCAGCCATTGGCTATTTCAATTGGTTGCGACACAGTGCAAACAAGTGTTTTGAGTCCTATTCTAGCAGGTACCACTTTCATACTAGTTGAGTGAGAGTGCGACATGACAGAAATCATATTTCTCTAGGAAACTGGTTTCATCAGTTATCGATCCCTGTTTTTTTTACTTTTAACAGTAAATTATTTTCTGATTTTCCTTCATTTCTTGTCGAAATATTTTCAAATTGTTCATTTGTAGTTATGATATATTGTGATGTTTTGGTATCATCATTATATGATTTATCGATTTCTTCATCATCATTATTAATGTTTATTACAGTTGCTTTTGTTGGTACACGTGGCATACTAAAATTCATAGCAAATGAAGTTTGTAGAGTAACACATTTAGGTTCTTGAAGTTGTACTGAAGTTGAATTATCGATTTGTACTATAGATGATCGTTTTGATTCTTTTTCTTCTGATTGCTGATGATCATCATTGAATGTTGACGAAGAAGTTTTTTGTTTTTCATTGTGTTGAAAAAATTTAATTAATTCGTTTGAAGAATGTTTCTTCATATTTAATATATTCGTATTTCTATTGATTCTAGTTGATATAATTGTTTGAATGAGACTTTCTGTAGCTAATTTAAGAATATTTTTTTCTTCAATTGATAAATTTGATATTTGATCGATTGTTTGTTTATTTGAATATTGTTTTAAATGTAAAATATCTTCATGTAAAATTTCAATCATTTGACGAATACCTTTTGTTTGTTCAATAATATCAGTAAGAATTGTAGTTTCATTTTGTATTTCTAAAAATAAAATATTCAATAATGAAACGTTGAAAGCCGAATTTTTACCATCTGTAGTAAATTTATTAGATACAAATGATGTTTGAGATGCATCAAAAAATATTTGAGACTTTATCATCATATGATTTTTAGATTTCTCACATTCAATTTGTTTGTTAGAACTTAAAATTTCAAAACATTTCATTGAATTTTGTTTTTGATTTTCATTGCGAGAATTAATCATATTACTCATAATTGTATGCATTGGTCCATAATAACCTTAATAATTTAAATAATATAGGATTTCATTTATCTCTATTGTTTTAGTTTTACCAGGTTGTGAAATTGATATGTTATATCGATTATTAAACTGAGAAATATCTGATGAAAATTCAATGTGATTTTGAGCATTTTCAACTGTAAAAATAAAAGTTTTTTTTTTTATTTCTGAGAAATTATATTTAAATTCATAATTTAATAAAAAAAGAAAAAAAAACTTTAAATTAATACTCAGAATTTGAAAAATGATTATTGTTATTTTGATGAAAAACAAGAACAAAAAATCGTACTAAGTAGTTTTTTAGTTGTTGATTGATGTGAATCTTTTTTTTCTTCATTAAAATTTCTTTTCGATTTTTCAATTATTTTATTGTTTTTACCATCATAGTCTAAGATAAATATAATAAAAATAAAAGAAAAAGATATAACAGGAAGAAAGATACTATTAATTTTAGAAAAATCATTCTTTGATTTTGTACTAATATCGAGACCTTCAAAAGAAATAATAAATTTATTGAAGAAACATGTTTTTTGTTTTACTTATCTTACTTGAATTTGATAATATTGCGGTTAAAAAACTTTGTTGATCATTATCATTTTCTAAATTATTTAATTTTTGATTTTCATTATCATCATCAATCTGGAAATAAAATTCAAAATCTCGATTAAATATTTCTATGTAAACTAACATTATTATCTTGAATAGGATTATCATTGAGGTTTTGTTCATTAATTGAATTAATATATTTGACTTTCTGTGTTCGTTTATTATCAAAAGAAGATTTAGAATGTATCCATTGTCTTTGATACAGTTCTTTAAATATATGAAAAATTGAAAGTTTTCTACATATCCAATAAATAATAAAAAGAATTAAGAAAATTATAATACATAATTTAATTGTGTTATAGAAAAGAAATATTAATGAACAAATAACAATCCATGTTAAAATTTCTTCAAATGATATTGAACATGAACAACAGCAACGATACAATGATTTTAATTCTTGAGTATGACAATAATAACATTGATTTGTTGATAATAAACAATAATGTTGGCATATTGAATTTCTATTATTCATTGTTTTTCAATCATCTTTCTTTTCGATATGAACATCACAATGAAAAAGACGTCGTTTGTAATTAAAAAAAAAAGAAAAACTAATATTTCTTGTAGAACATCGATCGTATTTGACAAATAATTGCACATTACACGCGCGTAAATTTAACTTATCATATTTTAACTAAAAATAACTATCTTTGTCCTTTATCCATCAATATATAATCATCAAAGGTAAAGCTACATGATGAAATCAATAAATTACTTTTTAAAACTGTAATGAATTTTAAGAAATATCAGTTGCATGTTTTCTGTATCTTTTGAACCATCACAATGAAATATAATGAATTAGAACTTATCGTATAACTAAACAGTTCAAATATTTCATTTTAAGTTATAGAAATCGAAAAATCTCAAATGTAAATGCATGTGTTATTCCTGACCAACATGGAATCGGTACCGGCGATCGATCAATCCGGCCGAACTTGTTCCATTTTTCTCATGAGATAATTCTTTTGATTTGATTTGATTTTTTTGTTGAAATCGATTGATGTATAGAATGGTAAAGGAATATTTAAAGATTTTCATTTGTCTCTATATTCTTTTTTGAATTTATTTTAAGGATGGTATAAAGCAAAGTTTATCATAAAAAAAAGAGAGAGAGAGCAGACAAATAATGATGGAGTTGTTTTTCTTTTGTGGTGACAAAAACATGTCTAGGACTAACAAGACCAATAGTCTACTGGTGAAATATAATGAAATCAGGACAAATAGAAAAAAAAAAAGAACAGAAAAGATCGCCTAAATACTTTTATACGTATGGGAAGTAGATTGTTGAAAGAAAAAGAGAAAACAATGTTCTAGAAGGCGAATAGTAACATAAAGGCCATCATCAGACAGAAGAGACCCATAGCTTCGGACAGAGCAAAACCCAAAATGGCATATGAGAAGAGTTGTTGTTTTAAACTTGGATTTCTTGCATAGGCGACAACAAGTGAACCAAATACTGTACCAATACCTAAGAGAAAACAAAAACACAATCATATTTATTTTTTTAATCCAAATAGGAGAGTCAACTAACCTGCACCAGCACCAGCTACACCAACAGTTGCAGCACCAGCTCCAATATATTTGGCTGCTGAATCAATATCACGACGAATAGGTGTAGTAGCAATTGATCGTTGTTGTGCAGCGGACGGAATAATCATTGAAGGTAAATGTTGTTGAATAAGACCAGCATTACGATTAATTAATAAACGACATAATGCCGATGATGATGTCAATGAAAAGCGTGTTAATGATGCCATTCGATATTGTTTTTTTTATAAAATTGGCTTGGTTGCCTATGCAAATCTAGAAAATATTAAAAATTAAAGGAACGAAACCTCGTATTTTGTTGTGTTGTTGATTTTTCTCGTCTCTTCAACAAATGACAACCATCTTGAAAGATGGAATTCTTAACCACTACAATAATTTTTTTTTTCATAACAACAAATAGAAAATACGAATAATTTAATTTATGATTCAAATAAAAAGTGTATTCATTGAGTTTATTCAAAACTTTTATTTTATTTTATTTACGCTGATAATATTAATGAACTTACGTTAGATGACGCCACTTACTGACGATACCAAATATAGTTCATTAAAATGATCATCTTAGATTCATTTTTTAAATTAAAAAAGTCGAATGTATCTCGAATTTTTGAGAATTAGTAATCACTTATATCATTGAATTCGCAAATACTTTTCCGATTATTATGTTAGAATTATTAATATATATCTATTTATTTATCGTTCTTATCAGACATTCCAACTTAGGTCAAAGCTCAACCTTGAATACAGCTTTCACATCAATCATACATGCTTTTTTTTCTTCTTTCCCTAACTTGTTTATCATCAGTGAAAGATTGAATGACTATTCATGTTTAACCGTTTATATCAAAATTGACTCCAATTACTATCGATGTAATCGTTTACTATCACATCATACAACTTCAGATCGAAAACTATTAAGTGACTGTCTCTATTTTATATAATACGATATTATTAGTACTCAAATTGAACTTTCATATATGAATGTATTGTAATAGAATGAGATTTTCAAGTATGTGAAATGAAATGTTCTTTAGACATAGTTTTGTATGTGTTAATGTTGATGATCTTCATTGATATGAATATAAAATTGATAATAGAAAGCTTCAAATTACCGATGACATTTTAATGATATATGAAAGTTTACATCATTGAACTCGAAGTTCCATACCTTCAGCAGATGCTGATGATTTATGGATGACTATTAGCTCGAATAGTAATGTTGATTTGCTAAATTAGATGGATCAAAAAATGAATCATTTGTATGGAGCTTAAATAATTGTGTTGGAATTGATTTTCGTTTATAAAACAAACAGATAATAAGATGATTTTTATGAATACCTGTTGTTGTTTTCCATACGGTTCAAATGAACGTTTATATGATATTCTTTTTCAATGGCATTTTACTTATAAATGATATAGAATTTTATTCAACAACACAATATTCAAAATTTTATCAAAATGAAACATTGGCTGCTTTTTTTGATACTTCACGGAACAGTTTGTTCAAGTGTTAGTTTTTTTCATTTGGAGAGATCATAATCGTCAAAAATAATATCATGCAAATTTAAAAAAAATATTTTTAATGGATTTTAAATGTCGAACAACATCTAGTAGATTTGTTGAGAGACTTGAAATGGAAGATAAGAGCTTATTATTTAGTGACGATGACTATGAACATATATTTAATTGAGTACTTCGAAAAATAATCAAAGACTATATCAATGTATCATTTTTATTATTGTTTTTAGTATTGTTGAGAACTTTTTTTAGATTTTTAAAAATAATAAAAACCTTGATCTTGAATATCTAATTATCATTTGTTCATTTACAAGTCAATGGTTATTCTATTACAATATATTAATATTTGTCCTTGATTTGTCATTATAAATATACATGAACAGATCTTTAAAGCTTCATTTCAGACATCCAACAGATAAGTATAAATCCTTCTATTGTCTATTAAGCTTATTATTTAAACAGTCCAAAATGTTCATTATTAATCATCTAGAGAATATACAAGTATATTAAAATAAAGGTTCTTTTTAGCCTTCAAATGTATTTCTTTTAACACTTCTATCATCATCATTTTCTTGTTCATCTGTCGATCAACTATTTCGTTATCAACATTAAACTGTCTTCAACTCAACGACAAAGGTAAAGTGTCAATAGTAATAATATTAATGATGATGATAAATTTGCAATGTGCTGAAGAGAATACCATACGTATGGGATATTTGATCCTTGGAAGATGGAAAAATTTTGTAACTATCTATTTAAGTTGTGTAATACATTCCCCTTGTTCATACATTTTTTTAATGCACTTCCTTTGTGTCACAAGAGACAATCGTATCAATATCATTCCTTTTTTTTTTAATCATTATGAAAGAAGAATTATACGTAATAGATCATGAATGAAATGCTAAAAATGTTCGATGTGTGATCATATATATATGTATGAAGTAACAGTATTGAATGAACGAAAGAAAAAAAAAGACACATTTGATAATAATCAAGAAAAGAGCAACATCATATAGTATCAAAAGATTCATGCAAATAAACAAATATAGAAAAGTCTTCCTTATTATATGACAATAACATGCTTCAAATCATCAAACAGCAGGTAAATAGAAGAAAAAAACTATTTCAAGTGTATATATATATATATATATAGACCATATAATATGGAAGAGTAAAGGAAGAGAATTATTAAATCAGCAAATGTGTATGTAATCAAGAAGTAGTATAAGCATAGCTGAGCACGTCCAGACAAACACAGCGGGTGGCGGAACGAAGGCTACTAATGAAGGGACCAATACTATTCTCTGAATCAAGCATAAAAAAAGGAAAATGCCTCTGGTAGAATTATGAACATTAATGAATTGTTTAGTAGCCTGACAGAAAAAAGAAAATGCTGGTGAAGTAACACATGATGAGATTATGCGATTGTTGTTATGTTACATATATACAAAATATGAATGTTGTTATCAAACTTGATATAAATGAGAAGGTTAAATTAGAAACAACTATAAACAAATCATTTGACCTACAACGTTTTTTTTTTTAGTTTGTCCATTTGTTTAGTTGTTTGTAATCGATCAGACATAAGTCGTGTGTAAATTCATCCATTCAATTTCATTTGATTAAATTAAACACTTTATATATATATATGTATCTCAATATCATCTCAAGTGTAAAATTGTATCTATATAAATAGAAATGCCCAAGTAGATTCTTATTGTGTTCGATTGATTATATCTAGTGACACAAATAAGATAGTACTGTAAAAATATATAATTGTCTCTTTCCTTATGTTTAAATAGACGAACAAATTTCCTGCAACAAATACTTGATGTCCTGTTTCTTTCTTTCTTTCGTCTGGTTTTTTTTTGTCACCACAATTGGACACTACAGTTGTGTGGCATGTTGACTCACATACGCCCCATGATATATTAATACCTAGTAGTAGTAATGGTCATCTTCTTCTACAACAATTAAGAGAAAGAGAAAGAAGACGAAGTGCAATAACAAACATACTCACATATTGTCTTCATTGGTCGACAATTGTATTTATTATTATTCAAGAACTTTTCATACACATGCACGATATTCTTTTTTTTTTTAAACTTATTTTAAAGCACGCAACCTATTGAGCAGTTTCATTTACTATTCTATATTCTATTCTAGACTATGTCATACTGTCAACTAAATTTATAACTAAACGAACATCAGCATATTGCATTGATTATCATTTTTGATCAGAATTGATTATCTTTCTCTTTCTTTCCATTAGAGAATGCCAACGACATTATCATCCGATCGCTATTCAGCAGTTTCATCATCATCTACTTCTTCTACCTCATCAAGCAGTTGCTACAATAATAATAACAATAATAATAATCACAATAACAGTTCTTTATCTCAATCATCTCGTTCATCATCAACATTTCTACCACTTCGTTCTGCAAAATCATCATTTCACTTGTCAAAATCAAGCAATACAAATTATCATTCTATGCAATCACTTAAAATTCAACAACAATATAAAACAAATCATACACCTGTTGCACGTATATCACCACTTGTTATTAATCAACAATTATCATCAAATGAAATTTCTAAACAACATGATAAAGATGAAGGCTGGCTTAGTTGTGAAGAACTTGAAACAATTGAAAAACGTTTTACTGATTTATTACAAGAACCAACCTATAAAAAACCAATCATTTTAAATAAATATCAACAACAAGAACAACGTGCAAAGAGTTGTGATCGATTAGCAATCGATGATGAGGATTTTAAACCAACAACTTTGCCTTGTAAGTTTAATATCAAAGTTTATTGTGAGATGAAAAAAAACAACTTTGATTATTTAGCTCCTCGAAAATCATTAATTAGTAAAATGGAAGATGAAGATTTACATAATCATTTACCATTACCAGCTTCAATAATCTATGATAATAATACTCGTCCTCGTTCGCAAACTCCTCATCACTTTGTTTCATCATCTACTCGAACAGTTCTATCTGCAAACGATATTCTTAAAGTCGAATCATCTTATCGAAGTATTGGTACTCAAGTATTTGCTTGCCGTTGTTTATGCGATCTATACATAACAACAACTGATCGTTTAGCTAAACTTGAAGATTGGATATTATTTCAACATGGTTTACCTGTATGGTTACTTAATTCAGGTACAAATCCAAAACGTCAATCGCGTTTATCTTTAATTATTGCTGAACATGGTTCTGGTTTTCCAGTATGGCAAGATACAATAAATGGATTTAGTGATGTTAAACAAGCTCGTGCACAACATATAACATTTCGTTTATCTGATCAAATAACACTTGCTGTACTTCGTTTTAATGATTTATCAGCATCAAAAGATTTTTATTCTTATTATCAATCAATACGAAATGATAAACGTTATGAAAATTTATTTTCAACAATAATATTAAATAGACATCATAGAAGTTCGTCATGTGGTTCAATATTAAGAAAACATCGAAAAAATCAAAATATTAATAAATCATCAATATCAAATCCATGTCAATTTCAACATATAACTTGTTTACAAGTTAAAGATCGTGTTCGTTTAATATCACTTGATCAATGTTTAATACCATCACAGAACTATTCAAATCAGCATATTTAAAGAGGAATAAAAAAAAAGTCAAATGAACTTAGACAAATGATAAGAATCTTCTATTGT